ATTTGCAGCTTGCTGCAGAAAACGTGTGAACACGCTAAATTCTAACTTGTTGCTTTTGTGTACTTCGAAAACCCTAAAACCTAGCGTCACTGCAAGCTCCACAAAGCGGGTGAAAAATCCGGATAGCGCAGGAACTAGACATGGTTCTGGTCACACAGGTAAAGGAATAAAGTAACAAGTTTTCTGATAACAACATCATCTACCCTGCGCTGTCCCTTGCCCTTCTTGGGTCTTTACGCTTCATCTTCTTGAAAACATCTCTACCAATCTTGATCGCCTCATCCCAGGGCACTCCGCCCGCCCAAGTCCGGGCAGCAATGTCAAGCATTCTGCGGTCCTCTGCCTGCTGCATGTACACAGCCAGAGCCTTGCGGTTCTGGGCCACGCGCTGGATCCTGGAGACGAGCAGGAAGTTTTCCCATCGATCGCGCGCCACTTTTCAAGCTAACCTAACGCAAATACAACACGGCTCTTCGGACAAAAAAGAAAATTCGCACTGTTCGCCGTGACACGTCAACAAGTTGGACGACGACTCAAAGTTGTCAGCCAGTGGAGCTTTGTCAGAACTGGGCTCCGCCCGTCTCGAAGCTGACGCTGCGCACCTGAAACGCACGACGCAAAAAATAGCGGCGGGGACAACTTAAAGGGGAATTGAATTATTGCCCTGCTGTAGATTGGGACGCCCCTGCTGTAGATTGGGGTGTCGACAAGGACAAAAAATTCAATGCCGGCTCAGCTTGGGCGCGATCGCACATCTAGGAGTGGCTCTAAATCCAACACCCCGTTCACCCAGTTCTCCAAATGGTCTGCAGCCCTATTGAGCTGGAAGATTGGGCTGCGCAAGGCTGGCAAATGGGACAGGATGTTATCCCGCACATCGGCGCCAATTGGTCTCTTTGCGGCGATGGCTGACAGGGGCGGCGTTGAGACACAAAACCCAGCACACATGCTCTGCCTCAGGCCTCTGACAATTAGTTTGGCTTTGCTGTCTGTCAAATTTGTAGACCTGTGGTTTGCAGTCAGGCCTTTAAGCTTTGTAAAAAAAACACAAGCCTGCTGGCACACCTGAAGGAAGCAGTTCGGCGCCCAACAGCGCAGGGTAGTACAACATGGCCTTTGCGAAAGCCTGGTCCGACATCCACCTTTTTTGTCCTCAGCATTGACAGTAGCGTGCGAGCACCTACTTGCCTATTACCTAGCGTCAACCTGGAACACGCTTCAAAAAGTCGAAAGCATTTAGAGATGCGTGAGATTTCATTCTATTTTCAACTTGTATCAAAGTGACCTCAGAATCACGTCGTCCGCTCCCATTTGGCCCAACTTCAGCTTGAAGTGCTTGTCCTCAATCTCATTCGGCTGCAAACCTGGGACGTTGTCAATCGTTCATGGATTCACCAAAACCTTACCACCCAATTCATTCCAATCTCCAAAGCTTGACATTGAAAATATCTGCTGAATCTGAATCAACATCTCAGTGGCCGCAATTCGACCTTCTTTGAAATCTGAAGACATGAGGGGCGCCGCTACCTCCGATGCCTTTGAGGTGCACTGGCACAGCAGCTTGCAGGAAGGGTTTCCTTGAAACAAAGGGCGTCAAGATGTGTCTCAAGTCTTGAAAAAAACATATAAAAACACAGCTGGTGGGAATCAATGAAAATTAAATACGGTGCAAAAGGGATTGAAGCCCAAATCAGCCGACCAATCCCTGGTTTGGTCCATCTTGAAAGCCCATCGGTGGGCTGCAGGCTCAAAAGGAAAGTCAGACTGTTGGAGGAAAGCTTGGATAACGTGCACGAAGTCGATGGGTGTTTGAGCACTGTGGGAAATCATGAAGGAAGCGAGTCGACCAAATGTTTGGTCTATGTCCTCATGACTGTGACCTGTGCGTAGTGAGGACAATGTGGCCTCCCGAATGATTCCTGATGTGGGGAGGCGCGCGCACGGACAGGCCGTTGACAGTGTAGTCTACTAGGCCACTAGGCACCCAAGATACTATGAAAAACTTTGTTTAAATCCAAGAATCCCCGGCTCACCAGCGAAGTTAGGAAGGCCATGACGATCCCGTTCTTACATTCTCGAGGGGTATTATCACATTGGAGTTTGAAGCTTACTTCAGAAAGCACCACCCCTTGCTGAGCTAACTTTGTCAGGATGTGGGCGATAAGCTCACAGTGAGTTGCGCTGTCCTTGGGCAAGTCTGGCTCTGTCACTGCGAATGCTACCATGTAGCCGTGGACCAGGCACCCCACCACATGGGCACGAGGCCTCATCAGCCTCTGGAACTCTTTGCCTGAGACAGTGAGCGCTAGAAGTGGGCGGCTGTCAAGCAGCAAACGAAAACAATATGAAATGAATCGGGGAACAATAACAAAACAAAAAGCCCCGTCATTATCACTAGGCGACTCTTCAACCCCAAATGTCGGGGGGTATGCAAACTTAGCCTGATCCATGCCGTCCACGATGGCAAGAATTGTCTTGCCATCGTGGGCACGGCTCACCCCCCCTTTGTTCCCAATAACATAGCCGGTCCATGTACTGGTGGTGGAGGTGGCTGTGGTACGCAGCAAGCTGTTGCCGTCTAGCGTGCAAATGGTCTCCCAGATGTCGTATCCAGAGCTTCATCTTGACGCACACCGCGCACTCAGGGTGGCTCCGGCTAGGTCTTATTCGCAAGAATGGGAAGTCAGCCAACCAAACCTGGCGTGGGGGTTGTACCAACATTATACTTCAATGATGAACAAACTTAAAGTACACCCTCACCAAAAATCATTCTTTAAAAGAAATGAATGCAACCAAAGTTCCCGCCAAAAAAAGACTGAAACTTGCAGGTTTCGTCGTGGAATTCTGTAGCCCAAGTCTGTATTGCTCCCACATGTCTTTCATTTGCCCTGGTGGTAAATAGCGGGTCTCCTGCCCACCAACCCCCCGGCTTCCGTGCCACATTCAGCTCCACGCAGCCACGCATTCTCCGCTCTTTGGATCGTTTTGCCTGGCTCTCGTTGGCGCTCTCAGCGCGCACTTGAATCAAGTCCCCATAGGCATCCTCATCGTCTGAACCCTGATTCACAGCCACCAGTTCTACATCGGCTTTGGCGCTCTCAACATCATCTCGAAAGTCTGGTAACGTTTCCGCTACGCTGTTGTATAGGTGGCCAAGGAAGCTAACCACACTCGAACGCTGCGATTGGTCTACCTTGGAATGCGGTTTCTTCAAATACCGCAAATCAGCAGGAGCGGAAGTCTTCCCTTGCTGTACGGCTTGTTTCATTCTGGAAAGCCTCCGTGATCCTGGGGACAAATGACCGTTGGTGGAAAGTGAGGAAGGACTGCCAAATATCTATGATACCAACTGCTGTCATTTCAAACCACCCCAAGAGTAGTATGTAAAAAGTCTAGACTCTAGACACGGCTCCAATCCCGTGGAAAAGCTTCCAAGTCTTGAGGCACAGATCTGTGCCTAGCAGGTTCCAGGGCTCCCCTTGCTTCTCTGCTCGAGCCCGCAAAGTTTCAAACACCTGGGCCCAGCGGTGGCGGCAGAAAAGGAGACCGAACCAATCACCACCCGCACCAAAAACCAAGAGACTCAGAGTCAAAAGCAAAACACGTTACCCTAAACCTCTAGCAAGCGTCAACCTTGTCTTGGTCGAGTTTGTGCAGTTCAGCCCAATGCTTTCGAAATTCAACTAATTTCTGGAACTGTTCTTCCGGGCCAAACTTCTGAAAACAGTTCTGCTTGGCACACTTGCATTGCCTACCCAACAACACACGCAAAGCGATCTGATCGTCTGAAGCTGTCGAGAAGATGCTGCATCTGCTGACTCCTCAGACCCTTCAGCTGCAGCCACAGAGCTTTCACTCCCACTCAACGCCGCCACTGGAGGCAGAAGCATGGGCGCGCGCCCACAACTGCTCAATATAAACACCAACAACACAACAAAATGGTTAAAGTTATGATTTTTTTTTCGCTACGTCATGGTCTATAGGGTATCTGAATCAGATTGGTGTCACGACAACCTGAAAACAACAACACGTCAACCTAATGTTTCTGAGCCTGG